TAGGGCTGCCATGAGCTGGAAACGACTTGAAGGCACACAACCAATCCACTCTCCTGACTCATGTAAGGTGGCATGAAGGCGCCATTTTGTGTCTTGGCTGAGGCAGCCAAATGTCCTGATACAGTCCAATTAACACGTTTGTCTCCCTTTCCCCTCCATTCCTACGACAGCCTCTCCCCAACCCGGGTCACAATGCCGTTTGTGTGAGCGAAGAATGGACAAAGAAAGTTGCGCACTCCACCACAACACAAACCATCTCCTTTGAGGATAGAAGGATACATTTTGAGGGCACCCCCAAAGGCGCCATTATAAGCAACAGCGGGTGGGGAAACTATACTCTTTTTCTGGGGAGGGAGGTCCAAAAAAACCCCCCTTATTCTCCATCCCTTCGCCTCAGGTTCGTGTGAACGGACTCCTTTGGCTGGAGGTGAGGAAAAGCGGGCAAATCCAGGTCTATTTCGGGCCTGAGGCGAGAGAAGAAGGAGTTAAGTGGGTGGGGCGCCATAAAGAAAGGAAGAAAAGGAGGGTCTCCTTCAGGCGGTGCTCTTTTCTCAGGGACCGTTTGCTTCCAGAGGAGGGAAAAAAGACGGTCCTTATTCCCTCAGGGTGTTTTTATTTTATTTTTTTGAGCGGTGGAGGGGGGGGGGCTTCAACCCAGCTCCCCCTTTTCCTCCCAAGATGGAGAAGGTCTTCGCCATCGCCTTGGAGCTCCTGAGCGCTTGGTTCGCCCTGGCCTTCCTCCTCATCGTCCTGCCTTCCATCTTCGGCGTCTCCTTGGGCATCTCCGAGCTTTACCTCAAAGTCCTGGTTAAAACCTTGGAGGTGAGGAAGGAGAACTAGGCCTTCTCTCCGTTTTTTTTGTGCGTGCGTGGTGTATTGTTATTGTTGTATTCCTTCCAAGTCCTTTCCCACCTAGGGCGTCCCCTTTATTATGGGTTTTCATTTTTTATTTTTTGCCATGACCCACCCCCCCTCTGAGGCTGAGAGAGTGTGACTTGCCCACGATCAACCCAGTGGGGTTACACGACGGTTTAGGAACGACTTGGAGGCACACAACAATTATATATTGTTGTTGTGTGCCTTCAAGTCCTTTCCGACTTAGGGCATTCTCTTGTTATGGGTTTTATATTTATTTTTGCCATGCCCCCCCTTTGAGGCTGAGAAAGTGTGACTTGCCCAAGGTCATCCCGGTGGGTTTACAGGGCCCTATAGAAATGACTTGAAGGCACACAGCAGCTATGTATTTGTTGATGTTTTATGCCTTCAAGGCCTTTGTGATTTAGGGTAACCTCTTATTATGGTGTTGTTGTTTTTTTGCCATGGCTCTACTCTGGGGCTGAGAGAGTGTGACCTGCCCAGGGTCACCTCAGTGGGTTTACACGGCGGTATAGGAACGGCTTGAAGGTACACAGCAGCTATATATTTGTTGATGTTTTGTGCCTTCAAGTCCTTTCTGACTTAGGGCAGCCCCTTATTATGTGTTTTTTCTTTTTACCATGGTCCTCTGAGGCTGAGAAAGTGTGACTTGCCCAGGGTCATCCCAGTGGGTTTACACGGCGGTACATATTTGTTGTTGTGTCTTTCAAGTTGTTTCCAAGTTGGGATGGCCCTTTATCATGGGGTTTTCTTGGCAACTTTCTTTGGAGGGTTTTGTTTTTGCCATGGCCCTCTGAAAGAGTGTGACTTGCCCTAGGTCACTACAAGTGGGTTTACACAGCTGTATAGAAACTACTTGAAGGCAAAACACCAACTATATATTTGCTATTGTTGTGTGCCTCCAATTCATTTCCTATCATGGGGGTTTCTTGGCAGTTGCCTTGACTCTCCTCTGAGGCTGAGACAGTGTGACTTGCCCAAACCCATTGGGTTTACACGGCCGTATAGAAGGCACACAACAACTATATTTTTGTTATTGTTGTGTGCCTTCAAGTCGTTTCCTACTTATGGGGACCCTAAAGTTAATCTATCCTGGGTTTTTCTTGGCAAGATTTGTTCAGAGGAGGTTTGCCATTGCGTTGAGAGTTGTGACTTGTCCAAGATCACCCCAGTAAGTGGATTTCCATGGCTAAGCCAGGATTCGAACCCTGGTCTCCACAGAGTCCTAGCCCAACACTCAAACCGCTACCTGTATGTGTTTATTTTGCTCCCCAAGGTGTGCTTTTCCTTGGCCTCCCTTTCCTTGCTGCACCTCCCCCTGCATGATTCAGTAGTCTGTTATGCCAGTGGAGGAAAGCCCAAGTTTGCTTCCTTTCCTCCCTTTTTTCCTCCTTGGTCTGGAAAAAGGTTTGAAACCAACAATGGATGCCTTCTAGGAATCTCCTCCTTTAACCAGGGTGACCAAGCATCCTCCTTTTCCAGGACACATCCTACATTTCAACCTCGTGCCCAGGAGGAATTTCACAGTGTCTTCCATTTTGAGCATGATTAAGAAGCCCGTTGAATCACACCATGTTTGCTGTTCCCCTTCAAGAAATAATACAGTATATGTAATGTGGTGGTGATGTGCCTTCAGTTTGTTTCTTCCTGGCCAGAAGATTCAAATATAAAAACACGTCCTGGAAAAGGAGGATGTCTGGTCACCCTGTCCTCAGTGCAGTTCTGCTGTGGAGCTTTACAGCAATTTAGGCTGCATCTGCACTGCAGAAATAACCCAGTTTCACACCACTTTAACTGCCATAGTTCAGTGCTGTGGAATCCTGGGAATTGCAGTTTATTGTGGCACCAGAGCTTGCTGACAGAGAAGGATAACTGTCTCTTTGTTGTGTGCCTTCAGGTTGTTCCCAACTTATGGCGAATCTAAGGTGAAGCTATTGTTGGGTTTTCTTGGCAAATTTCTTCAGAGGAGGTTTGCCATTGCCTTCGCTTGAGGCTGAGAACATGGTGACTTGCCCAAGGACACCCAGTGGGTTTCATGGTTGAGCTGGGAATCGAACCCAGATCTATAGAGTCGTAGTCCAACACTCAAACTGTTATGCCACACTGGCTTTCTCATAAATATCCCACAAAACTGCAAATCCTAGCATTTTATAGCATTGAGCCATGGCAGTTAAAGCAGCGTCAAACTGGATTATTTCTGCAGTGTGGATGCAGGCTTGGCCTTTTCCAAATAGACAGGAGTGGTTTGGATGGGTAGGAACAGGAGATCCATTCCTTATTTTCTTAGCAACCCCTCTGGAGCCCTCATTATTTGCTGCATTAATTCACCTCTGTTGTATCTCTATTTTTAAGATTAAAGACCCCCCCCCCCACTGATTGGAATCACTAATTTGGAATCACTAATTTTTCAGGAAAATGATCTAAAACACCTACACCTACTATAAACATATCCAGGGGTAGTCTTGTTGGGAGCCAGCATAGTGTAGTGGTTTGAACATTGGACTATGACTCTGGAGACCAGATTAGATTCCCAGCTCTGCCATGGAAAACCACTGGGTGACCTTGGGGTGGGTCACACTATCTCAGCCTCAGGGGAAGGCAATGGCGAAACCTCTGAACAAATCTTGACAAGAAAATCTCAGGACCTTTGGGTCATAAGTCGAAAATGACTTGAAGGCACACAACAACAAGGAGACATACATCTTTCTCTGTCAGAGAGCTCTGGTGTCACAACAAACCACAGTTCTATAGCATTGAACCGTGGCAGTTAAAGTGGTATGAAACTGAATTATTTCTGCAGTGCAGATGCAGCCTAAATTGCTGTGAAGCTCCACAGCAGAACTATCTCAAGGACAGAGTGACCAGATGTCCTCTTTTTCCAGGACATGTCTTACATTTGAACCTTATGTCCAGGAGGAAACAAATTGAAGGCACACCACCACCGCCACATTACGTATACTGTATTATTTCTTGAAGGGGAAGAGCAAACATAATATGACTCAGTGAAACACACACACACACACACACACACACACACACACACACACACACACGAGTCCTGTTGGCCACATAGTAAAATACAATAATATCCAAAGCCCACAAAGCATTGACACCTTTATTGGGCCAGCTAAAATACACAAAAACACATGTCGTCAGCTTTCAAAGTTCCACTGGCTTCTTCATCAGGCAAAGTTGTTAAAGATCATACAAGAGAAAAACAATTAATGATGTTACTCACAGGTCTGTATTTTGTCAAGATATTGTTAGTGTTGTTTTGAGTTGAGATGGTATGGAGAGATAGCTATGCAGCAGGCCATTCTTCCTTCTGGCCATGTGGTACTGGGATATAAAGTCTAGGAAATTTAAATTCCATTAGCAGCACAAAAATGTACTTTCTGCTTTTAGCTAAGTGGTCAGGAATGGTATGGAATCACCTATGTCTTTAAGTCATTACTGAGTTATGTTTGTTCAGTTATGTTGTTGTTTTAAATATAGCTTGATGTTCTCAGATTTACCATGTTATAAGGCTGTTCTATTTTCATAGTGATCTCATTACAACTATGAAAATGCTTTGTGCTTCTATTTATGTGAGCTGCCTTGGAAGCTTTGCCCTCTAAAGTGCCCTGAAAATACTAGAAAAGATAATTAATCTATAATACATCTGGGAGGCAACCTTCTTAGTGTCTGTATGTCTGCTTTGTGTATATTCTGGCTTGGTTGCTTTTCTACATTGTTACATCATTGTTGAACTTTCCCTTTGTCTGTACCATTTCCTTAACCCTACTATTTATTTATTTATTTATTTATTTTTATGTCTCCTTTCTCCCAGGCTGGGACCCAAGGCAGCTTCCAAAACACATTAAAAATGCTTACAACAAGTACAAGACAAATTTTACCATAAAACACCACACATTTTACCATAAAACACCACAAAACAGGTTAAAAACATATAAAAGTTAAAAAGATAAAACATACATCTACATTAACCAGAATATTCTTTAAAGGCAAAAGTTGTTATAAAGAATGGAGACTGTGAACTGGGATGTGTTTTAACCAAAAAATGTTCCAACTAGGGGCGGGTTTGAAACAAAAGGGATGGATTAAAAAAATTAACCCAAGTTACAGATGTGAGATAGTTTTTCCTGAAATTGTGTAAATACAGCCTTATGTTTGAACATTACTCTGATCACTAGTGGTTGCCTACAGGTGAGTTAGTGCATGGAAGTTGTGTTCTTTCCTCCTTTGCATTCAGCATAGAAACCAAGCAAACGGCTAGAGGAGCTAGCTGTGTCATGCCCAATCTATATAGATGCAACTCTTGTTCCTTCTGCCCACCCTAGCAGGCTAGGAATATTTGTGAGCTCTTTCATAAGGCTTTGTACATGCGAACAGGTGCAGGGTAGTAGCTTAGACTGAAGGGTCCAGAGTCCAGTGCTTTGTGTGCCCAACATCCCAGGAATAATATCTGGCATCTTCAGTTAAAAGAGGGGTAAGAAAGATTCCCTACCAGAGAACCTACAGAACTTGTGCAAATTAAACGATTCTGGAATGATTTAAACTGCTTTGAGCAAGCTTTCCATTTTCATATCCTGGCCTGTGAAGTTTCTATTACACATTTTTCGCCTTTGCCATATACTTGCGTGTCTTGTATGTCCAGTACTGGAAAAAAATTACTGTTCTTATATTACAGGTCCACTGTAAAAACAAAACAATCCCCCAACCTTTCTCAGCCTCTGAAGGTACCTGCCTTTCAGCATGCTTGAACAGATTGTAAAAATGATGTATATTAAAAGCTTTAGGTGCCATGAGGCAAAGATATGATGTGTGACTGCACCTCCCACCAGCCCTTATTGGTGACTGGTGGTTGTAGTTTTTGGGAACTGCACTTGATGCATCAGTGGGGGGAACATGTTCCTCATTCTTGTCCTAAAAGTTATGATTTATGCTGATGATAAATGGCAGAACCAGGCTGTGAGGGAAAAAGCCTACACTGAAAAATGTTCATAGTGAGAATCCCAAAGATGTGAGGTTGAAAATGTTCAAAATTTCAGTGTTTTTTTTCTCCATGGAAATTTTTCTCAGCACACACACACACATTTAACCATAGTTGTTTGGCTTCTTGTACTGCAGTCCGTCTTGTGAGATGGGATAAATGTAGGTTACGAACTTGTAGTTATTCTTCTGAGGAGACAAACATCGACAAATCCTAATGCTCAGAGGAAAAGACTAACAAATGAATACACAGCTAAGCTTGTTTTTGTTTTAACAAAATCTCTTGCTTATTAATGAGTCATAAGTACAGGTTCAAGAGAAAATGTGGTAAGCTGCCACAAAGTCCCATCTGTCCTATAGTAAAATGACATTAATACAGTTATGCTTCAGCAAAAGAAAGTTAAACGGTTGGTATACTGTATTTGAAGTATAGATCTCTTTAGGTATGTGTTCTTTCAGGTGCATTCATTTTTGTAAAATACAAGGGAAGCATATGCTATTCTCTTTAAGTTATGATAAATATGTTCTGGAAAAGTTTCCATTTTTACTTTTTTTCCAGAAAATCTTCCATTAAAATGCCTGCCTTTTGGCTTGAGAAAATATATCTTGGTACAAGGAAGTGTGTGGGTGGTAGATTCCATTTCTGCACTACTTTTGAACCTGCATAGTATATTGTTGTCAACTGATCTCAAGCCAGCTGGTATCCGCCACATGTGAAATATCTGTTGCAGGTAGAAAATTGAAATTGGATAAACAATGCAGGGTTAAATGAGTACCCTTTTAAACTGTCCCACTTACGTTTCATCATTGGCAGAGGAGTTGTGGAATCTAGGTTTACTTTCATTGGGCTATTAATGAATCTTGGGATGGCTAGAACTGGGGCATACAGATGCTTAAACACTGACATGTTACTGAAGGTTTCTAGGTTGGAGATGGTTATAAGAAGTCAGTGACTGACTTGAAAACTTCTAGAATTGCAGGATGTTGCGGCATTCCCTCCCCTCCACATTTGAAGTACAGTATATGATTTATATATTTTAATTATATGATTTAATTATATAACATTTAGAGGTACACATGTGGTCTACTGTGCAAGGCTAAAATTGCAAACAAAAATATCACTTCTGTTGCAGTATTTTTCCCAATGAGGGGTCTGTGAGGGGCTCAGAGACATTTAAAAAATGGTCTGAGAGTTGCTTGTGACCCACAGACTGCATTTTGTTTGCTCCTGCATTAAACCAAGCACTGACTAGGATGCTACATAATAGATGTGTTTACACTAATGCCAGAAGACTCTATGCAAAAATGGGTGAATTAAGGGAGAAAAATGGATATAATGGTCATAACAGAAAGCCTGTGGAATGGAACTAGTGGGATATGGTAATATGTGGATATAAACTCTGTACAAATGACAGGGAAGGGCATACTGGGGATGGTGTTGCTCTGTATATTTGGGATGACATAATACAGAAGAAGTTAGAAACCTTTAATGGGATTAGCTACACCACAGAATAAATACAGGTGACAGCACCAGGCACCAAAGGAAATATAATACTGTACTTGGGACATGCTATCATCCCCCACAGGGTCTTGAGATGGAGAATGAAAGTAGGAGGTAGTTTGGCAAAAATGGGTATCTTTACTAGATAGATGCATTCTCCAGACTAAGAGAGGAACAACTTTTACATATCCTTAATGACTGCAGCCTGGAACTGACCAGGAAGAAGGAGACCCTGGACTGTATCTGAAATTCTTTTGCTATAGACTGTATATAAGATGTCAGCATGGTTGAACCAACTGGAAACAGTCACCATAATGCTATCACATTTAATTTATATGTAAGTGTCAAATTGCCAAGGAATACCAACACAGTAATACACTCATCCCTCCACATTTGCGGTTTTGACTTTTGCGGATTTGATTATTCACAGACTTTATTAATATGTTCTCTCTAGGAATCTCTAGGTCCTCCAGTGCAAGTCACACTGAAGGACCTAGAGATTCCTAGAGAAAACACTTCACTAGGCATTTGTAGCTCCTCCAACACAATTCTGTGGTCAGTGTCTGGCAGATGTTGACCACAGAGTTGCACTGGAGAATCTAGAGATTCCTAGAG